ATTAGCACTTCGTCTGCGTACACGAAAATGTAGATGTTCGCTGGTAAACGCTCAAAGACACTGTTCATGCCTTCCAGGAATAAAGTGACAGCGATCACTTGGGGAGCGCCAGTTTCCTCGCAGAAAGTGCGGAATTTGGTATAACCTACCGAAACTCGGAAGGATCTGCCAGTCAGGAAATTTTGGACGAAATAGATGATATGGCCGCTAAGGTCCCAACTCACGAGTTGCTTCAGTACCACGGGCGTCCAGGGAATCCAACTCCGTATGGAGACCATTATCCTTGGCATCCTTGAGGAGCTCTCCTAGTGTCGCAAAATACGTGGATGTACCGTGGCCTTGCCGGAATGCGTGTTGGCGATGGTCTTGAAGGGCCGCCAGACTCGAGAAACTGCTTCAGCAGGTGAGCGCAATGGGTCAGAACTTCGCCACGTCCTGTGTCGGCTCGTTTGCTTTGGAGATGGAGACAACCAAGCTCTCCCTTCAATGCTCTGGATACGAGTCTGTCTGCCAAAGCTGGTTGAAGAGTTCCAGCATTTTTACTTAACCCGGGGTAGGCAGGTTCTTGAGCAACGGGTAGCCAATCTCGTCTGGGCCGGCTGATTTCCCGTTGCTACTACTAACCGTGAACTGAAGCTCCTGCCAGGAGAAATCGTGGTTGATCCTCAGGTTGATCGTGTCCTAAGAAACTCGAAAGCTGCTTACGGACGAAGTTGAAGGGTTTGCTAGCCGTTGAAAGGTCATCTCGTACTTGGAAATCGCAGAGAGGTCAACGAAATAGTTGCCAAGCATATCTGCAACGATTGCGGGGTCGGAGACTGCAGTGTCGTCTACCTGTATATGCAGTGTGGCCGTACGGCGCTTGCCACTGAGGGCGTTGACCTTACCCCAGAGCTTCGCCGAAGACTGTGAGGCATTTATACTTTCGAGGAAGTCCGTCCAACTGGATCGTTTGGCATCTCGGACCAATTGGTGACACTGCACAGTGGCCCAGAATGCAAATGTAGGTAGAATGATATGTTTTGAGTCTGAAATTGAAACTTTAGACTAAAAGTCTCTTCTACAAAGTTGTTCCTTATAGTTAGGCCCTCATTTTTATGACAATGAATTCTAGGGTGGTTCCTATTATCATTAAAATCAAAAATCTAACTTTTTTGTTTGAATAAATTAAGGTACACATTTTTCGGCAAAGTTATAGCTGAGCTAATTTCAAGCAACTTTGTTGGATATAACTTTTTTATATCTCTTAAATTGGCCGATTTAGAGCAATTTCCTTGAATTGAGCTAGGGTGGCTCTTAAAAAACAGTTGTTTTGCTCTAGTTTTCTTATTTCCAATTTCTCAGCAAAGGTGTCTTCAAATAACTTTTAGATCTTAAGAAGGCGCAAATTTTTGCTGCACAAAAGTTGTCAATATCTTTCGTCGATCTAGAGTTATTGACGTTTTTATACTAAAAATATGCACTTTTCAAATGCTAATATCTCTGGTTGGGACAAACAAAAAAAAAATTTTTTTTTCCGACATTTGAAAGGACGTACCATGCCGATTCAAATTTCGGACACTTAAACTCGAATTTCGGACACTTTTAAAAGTTGATTATCTCGGTCGAATATGATCCACATGTCTTGTAAATTTTAAATTTTTTTGACTGGTGCCCTCCACGATCATCTAACATTATTACTTTGTTTCTAACTGGATGTAATATTTAATTAAAAATGAAAGTGTCCGAAATTTGAATCGTCCGAAATTTGAATCGGAACGGTATGTTATTCTCAATAATATGAAACAATTGGAGGTATGTTATAAAATCAATTTGAAGTTATTCATATTTTTTATTTTATTTGGTTATACCTTTTTTATTAGAAGATATACAGGCAATAAATCCAGCAATAAAACAATCGTCTTAAAGAGTTTTAAAAGTCTCTAGAAGATGACTTTCATGATAAATTTCAAATAAAAATATACCCCAGCCCCCCGCCCACGCCATCACTGGCAAAAAGAGATGATCACCGACACGCTCAACTACCGACGATGTGTTTGAAACAGTTCTATCGATTTTTACCGCACTTAAGTTGTTATCTGAAGAAAGACATCCAGTCGTAGGTTTGGAAATTGCAGCTACCGTATCGAACAAAGCAAAACTGAAGTCGATGCACCACACTACTACCACACTCTTAACTCTTTCGAGTGGAACTGAATATCCTTCTTGATGTTATACAGAAGAAAATCTAAATGTTACTGATGATATAAACATCCATGCGTGTAAACTTGTATTTCTTTTTCCACAAGCTAGCAACTTGCAAAAGAGCTTGCTTACAAAAGTGGCTTTTTTCTGATATTTGAAAAATGATATTTAATGTAAACTGATATGAAATATTACGCTCCTTTTATGTGCATAATATTGAACAGAAATTTACGCTACTTTTTTAAACTGTGTAATTATGAATGATGTATATAGGGGGAATGGATGTAATGTCGGCCTTAATGCCCCTAATTTGGGCCCATAAATAAATTCAGCAATCGGCTAAATTTTCAAATTTTCAATATCCATTAGTACCGTCCCAATGACGCGTTCATCTAGATAAAATTGATTAGTAGCAGATTTTTAGCGATGGGCTGAACTTTAGATCCATAGGCCAAAATTAGAGCCATTTTCCCTATATAATGCTCTGAAATCAATATCTGCACTTTACTGAAATATTCAATTTGCTGGAGATCTTTTGAAAACTTCCTTATCAACGGAGAAATATTCGAGAGACGTATTTACGTTGTGTTTTTGAACAGTTTTAGATCTTCAGAATAATATTTGATCAACCATAAGTCTGGAAAAAATATCCTGAACTTCACTGATACCTTCATCCACCTGGAGATGTTTTGAATACTTCTTGCTGTCAATCACCGAACTTCTGGAAAGAAATACAGCATTTTCTACAAATGTCACAGGAAGCGGCGCCGGTGGTGTAGTGTTAAGCGTGATTGCCTCTTACCCCAAAAGGCCTTGGTTCAATCCCAGTCGGCACCGCCAGGATTTTCTGAGCCATAAAATCTCTGATCACGCCTAGGAAGTAAAGCCGTTGGTCCCGGTCTATAAGTTGTTAGATCGATAGGTAGGGTCAAGGTATGGGAGCTGCCTCTTTGGCGCGTCGGCAGCATTGGTACTCAGTACGGAAAACAAGATCGACGGAAAACAAATCAAGGAGAAAAAAAATCAAAATTCCCAAGACTTCCAGGAACTTCATTGGGCTTTTTTGAAGTAAGTTCTCTGACAAACTACGGCGAAGTGCTCTAATCTAAATGGAAGATCTCTGAAGTTCTTATAAATTTTCTTAACATTTACATATTTTTAGATCTACCAAATTCCCAGAACTTTTTCAAAATTCCCTTTCTATGAAGTTTTACGCAATTCTCAAAACTTCTAGAAAGTTTGTTGCACTTCCCGCTATTTTTTCACGAAGTACTAAGCAAGAAATTTTCTGAACCTGCACGGATTTCACTGAACTATCCCGAGATCATGGAGCCTAAAAAAATGCCCTGAAAATATTAGAAGGTCCCTGAAATTACACATTGTTACCTTAACTTCCTATGGAGATTTACAAATTTTCCAGGATTTCTACGTAGTTCCTGAAGTTAAAGAAAAATTCCTGAACATCAAAGAACTACATTTCCACAAAGTTCAATGAATTTCGACAAATTTCTATGAACTTCTACACAATTCGAGGTTCCACACAGGTGGATTGATTCAGGTGTTTATAGTCCAACACAAATCTGTGTGAACTACCTACGTACAAACAGAAACCCATCCGAAGCCGCGAACGTGCTTCCATTCGTCACTGTTCTAGAGTTCGGGCACGTCCAAACTCACCAAACTTCCACAAATCCCTCAAATCAAATCTAAACAGTCATAAATCAAACGGCCAAAATCAAAACCTGCTCACGCTTCGTTCTGCAAAACTGCAAAGCCACCGCGGAATGTATGTATATGTAAAAGTGCGACCATGCATGTAGCAATTCACGCCTCTTACCCGGGAAATCAACCTCACGATTCGCGTTTGTCGAAATAATCTAAACGTTTCGTGATAATAGCAGTAAGCCCCCCCCTGCCACCATGTGTGTGTGGGAGGAGAAAATCGCATAAAAGGCACTTGCTTCCGATTTGCTTTGTATTGTACCCCCGAAAACCCGATAAAACCCAACTGACTGACTGCGAATGCCTGTGCGCCTCGGCTGATGATGGTCGCCGCTGTCTGTTCCGGCTACTGTTAGGGATGATTGCTTTTTTCGGATTGAACTACTACTCTGCAACATTTACACTAACCCCAAGAGCAACCCTATAACAGGTGTCCTATTTCCTGGTATGGACGGAAAGGAGCCCGCTCGGCATGCGAATAGGAAATTGGGGAAAACCCTGTTTCGCAATCCAATTTTGACCTCTTTGAGTTTGTTGGAATTTCACTTTTGGCTTCGAGGAAGACAAGCTAGTCGGCACACCCACATGTGGCTCCATTCACACATAATATCAGCGCGTGGGGATGGGGCGAACAGCTGAAGCTGCCTTTCAATCAACATATATGTAGGTAGGAAAGGGTGCCACCCAAATGCGGACTCAGTCAATAAAGGTTGATGGTGGTTCTACGAGGTAGAACCGCTGAGTGAGGAGAGGCTTGCGAGGAGAAAGAGTCAGACAGCAACGTGCCGCAATGGCATCCTTTCACGATCGAAAGTTGTGTTTTGGTTGGCCCATTTACGGGACGGTAAATATAACATAAACGTGAATGTGGCGAGACAAGGTTTTTTTTTTCGAGGGAAAATTGATTGAATTTAGATAATGGATTTAACGTGTGCGTCGTCTGTAGATTGTTACAGGACATCCAATTGTCAATAGAAGTGGGTAGTTCTTGATCGATTCACGGAATGTTGCTAACCCCGCAAAAAATCCAATGAATATTTGTACACATTTCTGAAATTTATTGAAAATTACTACACTACAAATACTATAAAAAATTTAAATCACACATAAAATTAAAAGTATCACTACTCTTCACCGCGGCGCTTCGTTGAAACATACCGCGAACGGTTCGCCGATCGTTCACTTGATTTTCGCGATCGATAGCTTCGACTCGAAGAGCGGGACCGGGATCTTGTTCGACTGCGACTATCCGAAGGCGATCGTGACCTGGAACGACGGTAGCTCTCCACCGATCGAGATTGGCTGCGAGAACCGGAGCACGACCGGGACCTTGAACTGCGACTGCTACTCCTACGTTCCTCTACCAACCGAATAAATCTTCCGTTCAGTTCCGTATCATCCAACATTTTGATGGCTCGCTTCATTTCATACCTGCTAGCAAATTCCACCACGCCTTCATACTGTCGATCCCTGTGGGCGTCCGCAAAGGTGACCTCTCCTGCTCTTCGCATGTAGTCCTTCAGATCACGCCAATTGATTCGGGAAGAGACGTTCTCCACGATCACACGATGCCTCGTCCTAGTTGGCGAACGGTACCGCGAATCGCCTCTACGCGTCTGGCGCTGGGGCTTCCTGGATGATTCGATAACAACTCGTTGTCCCAGAAGCTTCTCCCCGTTCAACTCGTAGATTGCATCCTCTGCGTCCCGATGGTCATCAAACTCCACAAATCCGTAGCCTTTCCTCAGCAGAATGTCGTTTATTCTGCCGAATCCTTTGAAGAACCGTTCCACGTCTCGCTCCCGAACGTCACTCGGTAGTTTTCCTACGTAGACTCGCGTTCCCATATCGGTTTTGCACTTTCCTCTTGAGGTTAACTGAACTGACACTCGATCGCTTCTGATTGCCTAGTGTTTAGGAAAGCACCAATATGTATTGCAGACAGGTACCATGCATGACTTAAACCTACCTAACCAAGAATTTGCCCTCCGCTCAGGTACAAGTAACCAGGTAGCCCAGTTAGCAGTGGAAAGTTTTGGCAAACGTTTCACGTAGCCGACCTTAATCTAGAAAATTCTCAAAACTCAATGTCAGCTTATTTCTGACTGATGTAGCAAATTAGCGCCAACCTTCCGAATGAAAAACAGTAATTTAGCTAACCACACATTTATCCATTTAGTTACTCTGCAAAAACAAAAACCTGACCCGTATCATTCCGGGAACGGCGCCAAAGATACATCCCTCGACGTTAAATTTATTATCCTTACCGTCTCGCTTTTTGCTGCACTCACTAAAGCCCTCTCATGTGGGTTACACCTTGTAACGGGAACGATGCAGCTACCGGTTTGATTTTAGCATTTTACAAGTGCAGCAGTTGTGTTCCACATTAATTTTTGTTTTATTTTTCGGTCTCGACCTGCATTGTTGAGTGCTGCACAACTTCCGCCGTGCACGGTAGTTGTAACATGTAAAACAACGAACGACGGACGGACGAACGGAGGTCCTGCCTTCCTGTTCCTAGCGGAGGCCAACGTCGTCACGAATAAAGTGTTGTTTTGCATTTTGGGGTGATCACCCGAAAGGAGGAAGGTGACTGGGTGATGTTTGCGTACTCGAATCTGCTCGCAGGCCAACATGTGTATGCGTCACAGTGTAACATTGGGGCAGTTGGAGGTGGACTAATCTGTTATTACCATCGCATCTTTTGCAGCCCGGAAGTGAACAATATTCATGGTGGTGGTGCATTCATGTGTCGGTTAGTGTGCGAAAGCTGGACATTTTTTTATATAGCGGAATAGCGAATAAAATTAGTTTTTAATAGGAAATGTTTAATCATTCATCGATATTCCTTCATGTCAATTTTTTTTCCTACACACTTAGAAAAAATCACCGACTTCGGTAATTCATTTACCGATTTCTCAACAGCTGAACGGTCGGTAATGTTTTCGGTAATCGAGAACATTACCGAAAAATCTGTAAACTGGATCAGCAAAATTAGCTGTCAAATTTACCGAAAGATCGGTAACGTTTACCGATGTGCATTGCTTGATTTGTAGTCGACTTTACCGGAGAACTGTAATTTTGAGTACGATATGCAAATCGGAAATTACCGAGAGATCTGTAATTTTTTAAAAAGGTCACCGACTCAACTGCTATTTGCTTTAGTATTGTTTCAAGGTGGCGGTCACTGCAACCCATGCAAAAATTTGGCTGCAGTCGTGATCAATAAGTTAGTGTTGCAAATTGCACCACCAATGAACAAAACCGTTGGCGACGATCTGAAAACTTAAGTTTTTGTCGGAAAGATTCGGCGCTACACTGATAACAAGGAAGCATTGGAAGAAGATTAACGCCTTTAATGTCGATCGAAAATAACAATATGGTGGATTTGACGTTTACCTAGACCGTTACCGAACTCAGTAATGGAACGCTTTGATTACTGAAACTTCAGTAAAATATTTCACCGAAGTCAGTGATGAAGCTTATTTACAGACCTGCCGGTAAAAATGTTTACCGTTTTCGGTAAATTAAAATAAAATTACCGAAATTCGGTCATTTCACTTACAGTTTTCAGCAATAAAGCGAGAAAATACCGAAATATCTGTAATTTTTAGCATTACCGATCTAAGACGGTAATTTTTTTTTACCGAACTCAGGGTCTCTGTTTAAGTGTGTATGATTTGTTTTCCGTCGATCTTGTTTTCTGTGCTGAGCACCAATGCTACCGACGTGCCAGGAAGGCAGCTCCCACACCTGGACCCTACCTATCGACCCATCAACTCATGAACCGGGGACCAACGGCTTTACTTTCCTTCCGAAGAAAGGCGTGATCAGAGATGTTATGCCTCAGAACATCCCGGCGGCGCCGACTGGGATTGAACCCAGGCCTGCTGGGATGAGAGGTAATCACGCTTACCACTACACCACCGGCGCCGCTCTGGAGGAGCCTCTTAAAATAAATTCTAGAATTTATTTTATGAGAAAGGTAGAAGATACTGAGAGGTAAGCATCGGTAAAACACGTGCGTGTGTGAGAAAATTTGCGAAAACATCTAAGGGCTCTGGTGAGATTCAAACCCACAATTTCCATTCAGTACACAAGTGTATAGCCAAGTATACAACCTATGGTCACATAACATATGTGGAACTCGATCATAAAAAGTCGACCCCATTTCAGTGATTTCAAGTGGTATAGTAGGACATCGATCTGTCAAACTGATTATACCAGCTGTAAATTGAGAAAGGAAATCAAGGGGGCAGTCAATTCTAATAAAATATTTCTAACGTGGTTTATAATGCTATGTCTTCTTAGCGCTCTTGAACTCATGTCTTTGTATTGCCATAATAACTTACGTTCTTTATTTATAATTATATAGCTTTATTTTTAATTATGAATTATCGTTTGCATAAAAAGGAAACATTTTTCGAAGATGTTTTAAGCGATGACCTGCCACCTAAAAAACGTAATTTTAAGCTGTCTGTTTACAATTCAATTTTGAATGCGATACGTATTGCTTTTCTGTAATTATGACCAAAAATTTGAGAAACTCTAAGCGAATACTTGTATATTTCTTTAAATTTGCGTGGGTATTTTTTTTCCCATTTGCTTTCTCAATGATAAACGTAGATAACAAATGTATGCACCATTTTTCCCATATTTTTTTTTATTTTTTTGTCGGAACCAATAACATCAAACTTTGAATTCATTTCATAACGTAGGAAAAGAAATACGACCGCACAAATTAGGAGTGTGATAAATAGAGTTTCAAGCAGCAACATTTTACAACAAGTGTCCTGGTTTATATATAAATATTGAAAATCTTAAGAAGCTGAATAGCTGAATACTGAAAAAAAAAACATAGTGTGCATTGAGAAATTGAAGTATATTTGCTGGCGATTCTTTCAAGCCTTGTTCATTTGATAGCTGTAGTGGAACTTCTTCTTCTTCTTGGAATTAATACGTAAAACAGTCATACATCTCTTGATATTGTGGAAAATATGCAGTGTTTTGAGCTGACCTTGCATCTTTCCATTCACAAGAATTTTGCAAGAAGGATGACAAACGAAATCGAGCGCTTATCGATACCTGTAATACCCAAATGAATGCCCAATTTCACCTGAAATTGCTACTTCATATATTCTGCCGTACAGCAAACGTGGAGTAACAGTTTCATTGTGGTAGGTATCGTAGAAGCTGATATTTGTTCACTTAAAGTTTCGAAGTGGCTACGAGAATAAGGATCTCACAGCGAAACACCTTAATATTTGCATGAAGAGACGGTGGCTCGCTGGTACCATGGTCGAGTGAAGGATATAGGAGTAAAGAGTTAAAAAGCCACCGTCAACGTCAATACTTACACGTTATTTCAAAACTACTCAAATTTGGGTAGAATCCTCCCAGATCGATTACAACTGAACCTACTAAAAAATGGGTAAACTATGTTGGGAGTGACAAGCTGACACATGAGCAACATTGGCATGGATCCGACCGACGTTGTTCAATTGTTAACCTGTCACTCCCAACATAGTTGACCCATTTTTTGATCGATTCAGTTTTGACAATTTCAGTTTTACTCGAATTTGGGTAGTTTTCAAACAGCGTGCACTGAGCATGCAACCAAATATATGGTTTTCTTTCGTAAGGGCCAATTTCACAAACGTACACACTGACTTTTCACGAATTGCCTGAGAATGAAAACTCGCTCAAGTATGCTTGTGTGTAGGGAAAGTCCCCATAGCTTATAGAATTGCTGGGTTACATGGATTGACTTTGAATTACAAGATATTTACGAAAGAAACCATTGCTTAAGTTTCCTACATTTGCCCATATGAAGACTTAGTGTCAAATCACGAAAATTTAATTTTGACAGATCGATGTCCAACTATACCAGTTATACCACTGAGGAAACACAAAAAAGGGGTCAACTTTTAGTCAGCAGTTTTGCATGAAGTTCCACATATGTTATGTGCTATGGTCTACGAATGTATTTAGAGAATCACATTTGAGTTTCGAATCCGTTTTCCTCCCTAGTCTTTGACTCGTGTGTCTTCTCTGTCACACATTTCTGATTCACAGAATATCTGTTATACTATTTCAAAAAATATATATCAAATATTACTTTTGGAACACTCTCTTGTGCTTCTATAGAATATAATTTATTTCTTGAAATATTTCTCCCAATTGGTTTCAAAATTTGAAAGATTCCTTCATTCTGCGGATTAATATCGGAGAATATGATTTTAGTTATCGTTCACAAAGATCGTTTAAACATATATCTGCCACATATTTATTTAAAACAATTTTCCGTTGACCAATATAAACTGTATTCCTTATTTAAAAATTGAAGTTGAACGACTCCCTACTCCACCAGTTTTGGCATGAACCCACAATATGACTCCCTTAAACCATCTGTTTACTTTTACTCTCCCAATTAAGTTCGGAAACTTTCTTCACTTAGTGCACCTAGCAAAAATTTAACCACCAAATTAAATTGAAACCACTCACCCAAAGTGCCAACAATCAACAGGATGTAAACACACACCGTTCAACATCCATCAAGTTACAATTCATCAGAGTGGCCCTGGTGAACCCTCTCGCTTCGATCCACTTCCCGGAAAACCGGAGAGCAAGTTTCAAGTGATCTAATTACGTTCTGTTTATGTTTCCGACCGGAGTAATTTCGCTTTCCCTCCCCATTCCAGAGGACTCGCACTTGGACTATAGTGCAATGATGCAGGTCGAGAGTGTGCGGTGGGCAAACGAGCGACCGTTGTAAATGTAAACTATTACGTAGGTACCAATATGACTCTACTGCAAACGAAGGAGGCTCGCGGGACGGCAAGACAAACAACCAAGTCGCGCCTCCGTCGTCATCGTTGTAAAGTGATAATGGCGGTAGCTTGGATGGCAGTAGTTTGTTCTTCCGCATGTGGGACGATTGCTCTTGTGTAAAGTTGTAGTCAGCCGGACCGAGACTTTTGGCAGGATGTGTGTGTGTGGCGTTTGTTGGAATGATAGTGCAGGCTGTCACAGGCACATCCTTGGGCTAGTTTAGTGCTTGTGCGTGATAAGGTGGTGGTCTGAGGGGA